GTGAAGAAGGCACTGCATTCAGCATGTGGTGGGAAGAGATTTTATTTTGGTACAGAGTTGGTTTATGTACAAGAAAACCTCACAAATCAGCTTCAAATGATAATAATTATGATTTCAAGCTGTATAAAGAAGACTTAAAAGCTTGATTGCTGTGTCGTTTAATTGTGTAGATATGCCACAGGACTGCCTCTGACTTTCTGTGCTTGAACAATACAAACAAAACCAGAACCTACTGGTAGAAACATCGCTCCATAGCAGCACAAGTGGTTAAAAAATAAAATCCATGCAGCACCTTTAACTCATGCTGTGGTGCACATAGTGTTTTCCCTAATAGTTAAGTTATTGCATTTCCTGTGAAACGGTACCCTCCCTGCTTCTTCATTCATCTAACTGTCTTTGTCTTTGTTTCCAGAATATGAATGCTGAAGACGTCCTTGCTAAACTCAATGCTGCCGGTTTTTCTGTTCGTGGCAAATGTCAGTTTATTTTCCGTTAATTTAAACATCACTATCTCATCAAAATGAATAAGAATATTTCACACTGGTGTTTTTTTTTTTTTTTTCCTAATTTTAGCCTTAACTCTCAAGACTGCCCAGCTTCTGTTGACTCTCGTGGACGTATCCTTTGCAGCTCACAGAGTTGGACCAACCAGCAGCTCGTCTCAACTCTTCTCCAAATCTTTAAAACTCTGATTGGTGAATTGGGAATGAGTAGGACAAGACATTACAATTCAATGTACAGCATGTTCTTTAACCAGCGCTTTCAGGTGGATAAGTCTGAAGACTTGACTGCGGTGGAGTTCTTCAAACTGGAGCACTACGTGGCTGCTGTCAGGAGGGAGTATGTGGAGAGCTACGAGAGCAGGAACCCACCGGCTGTCACTGAGACCCAAATGAAAAGGGCTCTGTCTGCCCATGGTAGGAAATTACATATTAATTGTAGCGTTAAGCCAGCATACCATTGATGCTTTTCGTTCTGGAATGCGCCGCTCGGTGGCAGCAACTTGTAACAGCTCCCTTTGCTCTTGAGTTTTTTTTGATATATTGTTGTCTTTTTACTGACATTACCTGTCAGATTAGGTTTTTCTTGTGTGATTTTTTATGCTGAGTTGAAATCTCTACAACTCAGGAGATTTTTCTACATATATTTAGCCTTTTTCACAAGTTGTTATGATGAGTATTCATTTCATTCATTTCATTCATTTCATTCATTTCATTTCATTTCATTCATTTCATTTCATTCATGCTGAATTAGTAAACTCTTTATTTATTCCTGAAATCACAGTTGCAAACCTAAGTGGGTAGTTAAGTCGGTATACAACACACTGGACTGATAGATGGACTGATGCTGACAGAAGTAGGGGTTGAGGTTCAGCGAGATGTGCTGAACACGAAAGCAGCAATCAAAAACGTTTGCATCACAAATAAATTACACAACTCTACACAGCACATTTTGATCCATGCAGCAAATTTTGTCAAAACAACTTTGAAGCTATTATCCAAAACCTCAGTGATATTTTCAAGAAGACAGCGACAGATTAAGCTCTAGTTTCATTTCTAAATTGATTTTCACACATTGTTGTTTCTACGATGCAGAATTCCGTTTAGATGACGAGACCTTCAAAGTTCTGTGGCAGGAATATGGCTCCCGAAACGGGATCGACTACGACAAGTATGTGGCCGTCCTGACGAAACTTCAGATCCTCAGAGGTAACTGCAACCCAAAGATCACACTGGTCTGTAGCTGTGCACCAATTTCACACCACATCATGTTTTCTTTTCTTTTTCCTGCATTGTTGTTTGTTCAATCATTGTTGGTGTTTTCAGAAGATGGTTCCTCCTACATAGTGTCTAATTAGAGTTTTAAATTGGAGCACTGTTCTGGCAGCCAGTTTGGGAAAAGCCTATACCAATGTGCATCCTTATATGCTTAGTAAATTCTGAACAACTGAGATAAAAATCTGCTACTTTGGTTTGTAAGTATGTGCTTCCTGTCGTAGAACGGTTTCAGGCCCATCTGCTGAATGTGCCATGTGACTGCCAAGTCGCCTCCTTCTCTCTCAAGCAGGTGAGTTTGATCGATTGACTGTCAAATCAATGGTAAAAACAAAACCTATAAAAAGTATTCACACCCTCTTGGAAGTTTTTCCTTTTTATTGCTTTTCAGCATAGAGTGATGGTCAATGAAATGGTTTGTTATGAGAGTTTTACAAAGAAAAGACGAAGTGTAAACAGATTTCTACGATGTCAGTAATTAAAAATATAAAGCTTATAAGAAGTGATTGCATAAGTATTCACCCCCTGCATTAAGCCCCTTGTGGATGGACAATCTGGACACTTCACTCCACTCTTCTTTGTAAAACTATCAAGTTATGAGTGAAAAACCCTTTTCAAGTCCAGCCACAAATTCTCAGTTTGAAGTCTGGGCTGTGACTCGGCCTCTCCAGAACATTCATCCTGTTGTCTTTAAGTCCTTTCCTCGTAGCTCTGACTGTAGACTTTGGATCACTATCTTGCTGGAGAACAGATCTTCCCCCAAGTCACACTTCTCTTACAGACTGCATCAGGTCATCCTCCAGGATTTCCCTGTAATTTGAAACATTCATTTTACCCTCTGTCTTGACAAGTTGTCCAGTGCTTGCTGCTGAGAAGCATCCCCACATCATGATGCTGCCACCACTATGCTTCACGGCGGGAATGGTGTGTCCGCCAAATGTCTTGATCTGATATGAGCTTTTTTTTTTTTTACCAGTGGCTTTCTCTTGCCACTCTCCCCTGTCTTGTGCTTTTCAGTAACCTTTTCACAGAGTTGCCTGGATTGTTCTTTTGTCTTCATGGTGTAGTTTAAGCCAGCAGTACTGATTCACCAGTGACTGGACCTTCCACATACAGGTGTCTTTACTACAATCACGACACAATCCCTTCGCTCAGATGATCTCTATTTTACTAATTGTGTGACTTCTACATGTGTTTAATTAGGTGAGCCACTTTGAAAGGGGTGGACACTTAGGTATTCACTTGTTGTATATTTTAATTAATTGACATTGTAGAAATCTGTTTTCACTTGGAGTTTGACAAAAAGTCTTTTTTGCACATTCTTGTCTAAACTTGACTGTGAGTCAAGGTTGAACAGCAGTAACAGGGGGAAACTGTCATAAACTCACTACAGAATTGGTGGACACAAATGCTTGACTCAGTAGGTTTGGGCAAAAGACAGGTTTAATGACGGTCAGGGTTCGGTACACAGAAATTCAGTCCAACAGGCAGAAGTATCCAAGAATCGGCAGGCAGAGGCAAGGTCCAAAAAGCAGAAACAAGGTCGAGATCAAACAGACTGNGTTCATCTCTTTCAGGTGAGGGTTTAAAGATGTCTTCACATCTGATTATTGTTTCTGGTGCAGCTGGTTTCCCGGCTGCTGATTCAATCTGTCTGATCTCGTGTTGATCATTGACCTCCACTGTTCCTCCCTCTGTGATGTAGAGCTCCGTGTACATCTGATTCAGGAGTGTCGGATGTCCTGCTTTAGGGATTCCCTCAAACACACACTGAAACTTGTTCTTCAGGTTTGATTTGAGTTTACGTTGGCACATGGCACCAAGAGTTTCTGAGTGAATGCATAAGAAATATTGTAAGATACAGTGGGCTGGACAGGCATCCTCAGGAACAGCATTCATTCTATTTGGTTGTAAACTTTAAATCAGAATGGACCCACTGACTCCTCCAATCTTTTTATTAACTTAATAACATTGCATATGCAGGAAATAATTTGCAGATCTTGTACCGAATACATTTTAACATGTGTGTATATGAACATTTTAAATGATCTGAATATTGTTGAATCTATTAAAAGTCTCTTACTGCTCTGCAGACAGTCAGCCAGTTTCTTCTGATTCATTGTGTGCAGGAAGTGCTGTGTGATCTTCAGAAATGCCTCTCCGATGCTCCTTCTTTCTTCCTCCTCTTCATCCATCCATTGTGTCTCTAGAACTCTCTGGAACCTCTTCAGCTCGTTCCGCACATAGCAAAAAATGTTCACCTCAAGAGACTGGAAAAGAACATTATTCTTAACTTTATCCAACTAACCATAAACTTTAACTCAAGCTAAAAAAAAAATGTATTTACTTTCAGCTCATCCACAAACAATATAGCCGGGTTTTTGTTTGCTTATCACAGAGACTGACATCGTTTTAGTAATAGTGGGCAAGCCTTTACTTTTAACTGTGACTTGTTATTATTAGTAAGTCATCTGCTTCTTCATTTACCTTGAATATATCGTCCAGTGAAGCGTTTGCGTCCATCTGTGGGGGGAAACTTTGTCCTGCTCCATAATGTAGCCTAGACAGAAACAAATATTTGTCAAGATTAGTGTTTAAATGCACTGAGTAACTGGAAAAAAACTGTAAAATTTGATGCAATTGGATTATTTTTTTCTAATTCACAATGCATTGGTTGCAAAGGATGGAAAAGGCATTTGTCAAAACTCCCTGAATGTAAAGAAATCTTTCCCTTTCAACAATAACAGCAAATCTTGACATCAGATAATAATAATGGAACATCTAGAAGCTGGACAGCTCCACTGAAAAACATACATCTTTAAATGATTTATGAATTAATTGGTCTGTAATCTTTGGTAAATGAACAAAACTGTAGTTTCTGTTAGTATTCTGTTGACCTACTTTGAATAAGGTTTTTGCTGTTCATAATCAAAAAGGAGATCCATCGACAGGTCGCCCTCTGCAGAGCCAAAGCTTTGAGCAGGAGATTCTAAAATCTGAGGCTCAATTCTGATAGAAAAAGAGAATTGAAAGAGAAAATTTAACCATAAAATAAGCAAGACTTTGACCACAAATTGATTGTTTCTGCAATTTAAAAATTGTATTTATATGAACTCCCATGTAAAAGAATTTTGTGCTTTAAACTGATTTGTTGACTCACTCCGAATATGAATGTCTCTGTTTAAAAACCACAGGTTGCATCATGGACATGTCACTCTTCATGGACACACTGCTGGGCCACGAAGAGGACTGGCTGCGCTCTGCAGCACCAAACTGCTGCTGGTTGCTACAGAGCATAAACAGAAGACGTGTTATTCTTAAATTACTCATTTCAACACTCTTCCTCCTGAGATGCAACGATGTAAATCGTTTTAATCCTACAGTGCAGTTGTAGTTACTGTACATATTCTACTTAATCGGTAAGTAGATGATCAGAAAATCAACACTTTCTTTAATAATGAAAACAGTGGCATGTTGCAGTCCTAATTATAGTTACTCTCCTTTAAGAGGACTTTGTGCTTTAAAGTGCTTTTGTTTTTTACTCACTCTGAATAAGAATCTGGCTGTTTAAAAGCCAAAGGTGGAGCCATAGACGAGTCACTTCTCATGGACACACTGCTTGAAGAATCTGAGCTCCTAACATTAACAGAACAAGTGTTTATTTGTTTTTTCCTCATACAACAGGGGAAAAGGTGGAAAATACAAATCAACCATATTAATAGAGGCTCAAACAATTTAAAGCACTTTATTTAAAACAATCATCAAAAAGTCACTGTCACAACAATAAATGCAAACAACAAAGTCAACCACAAAAAACACAGTTTCCAGCCAAAATGTGACAAAAGTATACAAAAGTAAAAACAACACAATAGGAGAGCATTTACTTCCAGATTTAACAGCACAAGTGTACTTCAAAAAGTTCTTAGTCTCAAACAAAGGAATTAACTCCCATTATGCAGGACAACTGTATACTATAGAACAGGGGTCTCGAACTCTGGTCCTCGAGGGCCGCAATCCTGCAAGTTTGAGATGTTTCCTTCTTCCAACACACCTGATTCAAATGATCAGGATCGTTATCAGGCTTCTGCAGAGCTTGATGATGAGCTGATCATTTCGAGGACCGGAGTTCGAGACCCCTGCTATAGAGCCTGACATCACAGTGTCCATAAAAACTCAAATATTTGAAACAAGCAAAGCTTCGCGCTGGCTGCTGTAGAGAGCAGGTAGAGAACCTTTGGAAGCACTCTCATCTGTTTGTTATGCTCATTGTTTGGACAGAAATGTCTCTGATTGAACTTAATGACAGCGTGCTGTTTTTGTAGATGAGCTCATGGACAACACACATGCACAGCTGGTGATCTTTATCTTACTCGTGAGCCTCCGTCTTGCCGCCATGTCCTTCACACTGAGTGGTGTTGGCAGGAGGGACTCCCACGTCTTTCTCCTCAGACTGACTCATGATAGAACCTTCACACAAATAAACCAAACAGACTGTTAGTGGGGCTCGATTTATGACAACAAAGCTGATTTATAGATTGAACATTTCGAGCAGAGCTTCCGTCACTAAGTGAAACATGGTGCTGAGTGTCAAGTTGGATTCTATAGGCTTCTGTACATCACACTGAAGTTGGTTGATCCAACCCAACGCTGTGCTTTCACAAGATTTGCCCACTTAAACCGATATCAGGCCTCCATCTTCATCTGGTCTTAGAAATTTGTAGGTTAAGAAAAGACTGAAATCTGCCATGAGTTGATCCAACTAACAGGAACGTATGATGATATATCTTTAGTCACAAACTGCTGTTGTTGTCCAAAAACTATTAAAATGTGGTTAGCAATATCCATTTTGCAACATTAAAATGCCCTGTGCAAAATGTAACGTTCAAGGAAATTAAACCCTCAGTTGTGATACTTAAAAACCACAACAAAAAAATTTAAGCGCAGAATATTAAAGTAAAGCAAATCAAACTTACTAATCTCTTTCGTTACAAAAATGACACCAGCTGAAGATGAATACAGCTAAAACATTATATGTAACCAATGTGTGCTATAAAATGGATAAAGTCTGCTCATAAAGTCATACTGCTGCTTTAAAATGATCACCTGCCTCCTATGTTACACCCAAAACAAGTCACGGAGACATTTCATCTGAAGAGAAAAGACTCCCAGGAAATGGAACTGTTTTTGTCTTTTTTAAATTTTTATTCAGGTCAACATTTTAATCTGGCAGAGTTCAATTCAATTCAATTCAAGAAACTTTATTTGTCCCCTGGGGGCAATCTAAGAAACAAAAACTATATCTATCTATCTATCTATCTATCTATCTATCTATCTATCTATCTATCTATCAGATTTGCAACAAACAACATAATTCCTACATAAAACTACTATTTACATTGCGACTGATTAACAAAGAAAGTAATTTTTTAAAAAAGGCTACATACCTTGCTATGGCCAAATTTAACAGGAACCTGTGTGACTGTGACACATACTGTCTCTCTGTCCCTTCTCAGAAAATTTTATTTACATATGGGGCTCAGTTCGGTACAAAGTACAGAACAGTTTACGATACCTTTTCTGTCGATGTAGACTGCGCCACATAAAAAAATACAATCTGTCCAGCTCGTCTGTATGATGCTGATTAAGAAGAATACAGGCAGACCAGCTGACTTTGTGGGAGTTCACCTGCCTTGTTTTGTCCTTTCTTTTATTTCAGTTATCTTTCTATTATAAANAGAGCAGCTTAGTAGCACAGAATGATGTGAACCATATATATGATGATAAATTCATTCATCTCAGTTAACCAGCCTTCCCCGCTATAAGTACAGAAACATTAGACACTGAAACTGTCTGAGCTTTGTTATAGTCATGTAAAAGCTTATTTCTTTTCTATTTTTGAATATTCCACATATAAACTGCCATTTTGCTGGATTGTTTGCTGAAATATTTTAATGCTTCGTGCCACATGTGGGTGTGATAGTGTATTGGCCTGTTGATGAAACAGCTTTACTTTTTAATAATTGATGCAAGAATGAAGGAAATTAAAGGATTTCAATAAACACTTGTCAAACTTGTTGGTGAAGATGAACTGACCCTCTTTACCCCGAGCAGTGTCTTTGCTCATGTCACATTTTTGCTCATTGTGGGTTATTTTTTTTTTGCCATGTAAAGTCTTGCTCTTCTTTGGAAACAACAAAAGTGTGACTAGAAGTAGAGAGACCCTCAAAATTGCCTTTTGTGCAACATAGCATAGTTATAATGGCATAAATCACAAAAAAGACCCCCCAAGCAATGGAATTTATTTGTTTAATTTGTTTTCCATCAAAATTGAAAAATCTGGAATCAATATGTACAAGATTTTGTATCCAAAGGTCGTTCAAGAACATAGTGGCTCCACATCGACTCAGAGATATTTCACCCTGCTGGATGTATTTTCCATCAACCTGCTGACAGAGTCCTTCACTTTACACCGTTTTGGAAACATGCATTGACTTTATTGAGTTTTATTTTCCTCTCAGTCTCTCCTATTGTCACCTCTCTGCTTTGTGAGAAGATTTTTTTTTTTTGTCACCTGACCGTTGGTAAGATAAGATTTGCCTCAGGCAGTTTTTTTTTTTTTTCACAGCTTTGTACAACTACAGTCAGCATGATGATAACACAAAAAGTACACAACTAGGCAAAGAATAAGCCACACGCATGTAAAACCACGTATGAAAACATTGCTATCTAAAACATACATATACACAATTGTTTAAACCTTATTGGACTTCTAGAACAAACAACTAATACCAATAGAATAAAAAACGGAGGTTATGTTTCCTGATGGAACCCTAAATCCCACATGATACATTCAAGGACCGTCTCAAAGCTGAAAATCTGATGATTCTTCCTGTTGCTACAATTTCTTGGTCAGACTGTGGTTGTACTGGGCAGCATCCAGGAGTGAACGGGCTCAGACTTGACCAATGTGTGGCCTGTTACTGGGTATTAAACACACAGACTGGATGAGGAGCAGACAGCATGTTTTTCAGTGGTTCAAATTGGCCACCGGATTCTGTCCTGAGTATTTCCCTGCTGGAGTCTCTTTGATTTCTGCCTCTGTTTTCATACCTGACAGAGGGACACAGAGGCTTTTAACTGCCCAGGCTTTATCCTGAAAGCAGGGAAGAGAGGCTCAGTGAACTTGGTGTTGAGGGTGTGGAGGTGGGTGAGTTTGTCAGAGGACACCTTGTAAAATGACAGAGTGCCTGCAGGCCAGTCCAGGTACACTCCCACTCTGCTGGAGGAGGGAACATAGATGGACGTCCTCTTGTTGTTGTGCCGTACAGAGTAACCGTCATCAGCGCACCTCAGACTCCAGGACTGGTCGTTTCTCCCAAGACAGCTGTCGTCAAATTGTCCTTTCCTTTGGATTCTTTCGTAAGTCACCGCTACATGAACCACTCCTTCCCGCTCAACCTCCCAGTAAAAGCGACCGGCTGTCGACAAGCCACCTGTACACAGCAACTGTTTCCGGAAGTCGAACCTCTCTGGACGATCGGGATACGGCTGCTCGTCTGTCCTCAGTGTCACCTTTCTGTTGCTGTCAGACAGTTCCAGGTTTCTGTGTGCTGTGTTTGGGTCCAGTGTGAGTTCACAGGCATCTGGCACGACAATTTCAAATAGAAAAAAAACGTCACCAACTAGAGTGATTTAAAGACATTTGGCAAACTTTAAAGTGGTGGCACTGAGTATCTTTATGACTCCACTGGGCCTGGACTCCCTTGTGGGCATACATATTGACAGCTGTAGAAACCACATACGCATAGGTGTTGCTTATATACTGTTTTCTAGTCTGTTCCATTCCATACATGCATGGTAGGTCGTATCTCTGTATTCTGCTTATGCACACTATTGACTTTGTAATATAATCCCACACTGACACAAATTTTGGGCTTCAAGCGGACATCCATAGAGAGGATCTTTTGGGCTTGTGAAGACAATATTTACATCACATAGACACGAGTGGACCATTGCGTACTCACTGTAACAGAAAGGGTTTTATCTATTTTAAGTCTGAATGCATGTCCTTCATGAGTTTAATCAGGAGTTAAATGGATCACAAGTACCAACTAAAACTGTCCCTTCATGATCGTATACCAACAAGCCAAGTTACATCCATGTCTCCTTCTGTTCCTGAGTCATGGAGTTAAACA